AATCAATAAAAAGAGCTGGTTACCTGAACGACACGTTTCTTGCGGTATTTTTACGTTCTTGCCAGCAAAACAGTCTCCTCCGCTCAACCATTCAGCCCGGAGGGCAGAGTGGAAGTTCCCCTCAATTATGTCAAGTAATGAAATTTTAAGGACATTTTAACAATGTCAAGTATAAAAGTCACCGAGGAAAAGCTACAGAAACCACCAAGCCAAAGACAACGCAAGTCTTGACAAAGAAAGGGGATTCAGGCAATCCATTTCAAGAAACCCGTTTCAAGCTCATATGCCTCAGGTGAAAGGGGACCCAGTTACCAGCACATAAAAATATTTTTAAAAACAAAGGAAGTTGGAGCATTTAAAATGCTTTGAAATGAATGCTTTATTATTAAAAGGAGTGCTTTATAACATCAAACATTTTGGCAAAGCATTTTAATAAAAATACATTTAGCTATTTCCATTTTATGAACAGTTTAAAAAAAAATAAAAATAGGCAATATCTAAAACCTTTACACACAGTAAAAGGGATAAAATCTCTTTTGCCCTATTCCTCCCTGAGTGCATACATGACATCGTCCTGGCTGAGGTTCAGTCGCACCCGCATGTGAAGGTATTTATTGCTGGCCTCCAACAGCAGGAGCCTGGAGGCACCGAGTCTGGAGCAAATGGCCATCATTTCTGACACAGTGGGCCTCTGCATCCCTTCAATCCTGCACAGAGCCATGTGCTGGTGGTACACCTGTGAAAAAAGAGAAAAGGACACAGGTCATGTTTACATCCTGCTGCAACCGAGTACACCCAGGTGATAAAGAGGAGATATTCCTTCCCTCCACATCCATGGCAGGGGAGCAAAAACTGGCTCCAGCCTGTTCACATGAAATGCACACGCTGCTGTTCCTTGACAAAGTCCTAACAGTTTGTGCTGGAAGTAACAATTCCAAGCTATGCTTTCCTTTTTAATACCGACAAAAATCAGAACACATAGCAACATACCTTTTCTGCTATTTTTTAATTAGATCATTTATCCGTTGCTGCCTCTTCTCCCCTGGACTGTGCAGACTGAAGCTTTTTGAGCAGTAAAAACCCCAGGTGGTAGCATTAAATTAGGCTCTACACCTGGCCTGGGCAGCCATGCCCCAAATTACCTTGCCATCATATTGTCTTCCATCAAATTTTACGAATAAAACCCCAAGTATTTAAATATTTACACTTTTGCCTGATAATTTTGACAGCACCCCTCTCTTTTTAAGAGAAACAATAAGAATACTCTGAAGCACGAACATACCTGTTGGACTGTTGCCTCTTCAACTCCTGCCCTGCGAAACTCTGCTAAAATTGCTTTCAAAAAGATTTGCTCGTGCAATGAGGCATTCCTGAATGGAAAAACCAAACAGACAGAAATCAGCTTGTGAAGTTTAGAACTTGAGAAACATCAGGAAGGGAAACTGCTTGGTAACTACATATTTAAATGCAGGTTGTTTTTCTACCCCAGTTTATTTCAGCCATTTTATTCCAGCCTGCAACTCTGGCACCACAAGAGATGTTTTTGAAAAAACAGCGCAGTGAAAGAGACACAAAGCAAAGCAGTTCCTCTGAGAATTGTACCTGATTGCATTTATATATGGTGATGAGAACATTTCATCTATGGCCTCGGTGACATGGGCCATCCCGACTATCTCAGGGCTTCTCTTTGGCTCAGCAAACTCGCAGATCTCTGTGGCCCTCCTGCAGATATCGAGGCAGCGCCGGGCGTCACCCGACAGCGCCGCAACCTGGAAGGACACGGGACAGCTTTGGAGCAAAACTTCCCTCAAGTTCACACAAGAATTCAGCAAGAATCAGTAGACAAACAAAACCCAGCCACCCTGAGAGCCCAACAGGAGAGCAGTTGTCACTCTGAGCTGCGTTACTACAATCCCAGATTCTAAACAACCATCTTATTGACCAAAACCAACAGCCTCATCTGGGCATCACACCCCCACCCTGATCTGGGCATCACAAATTCAAGGCTAAACTTTTTTTCTCAAACTACAGAAGTCAGAAGAAAAAAAAAAAATTAAAGGTGAGAAATTCACTTCAACACCAATAGTTTTCAGAGATACCAATTTAATTACCAATAAAGATCCTTACCACAATCCAGGTTCATGCCTGGGGGCATAACACCAAAACCCTCCCCAGTTTTTCCACATTCATTATAATATTAAGAGTACACTAATTTTAGTAGGTCTCAAAGAAATATCTGGGATAGTGAATTTTACATTTACGAGTGCCTGAAAATATTTAGGTGTCTGAAATTTCTGAAACTAAATACTTCCTTCCACTTGTGCTTTATAATTTTAATAAAGCTATGAACATTCACTAGATATACTATTGGCCTAGTTTTCACAGTAGATGCTGGTAACAAGCAGCCCTAGAACTCAGCTAGAGCCAAGAATGAGAAATCCTTTAGAAAATCTAATTGCAAGTTACATTCCTAGATTTTCTGAAGAAAAATCATACTAGAAAAACACTGCAATTATTCAGTCTATATCATTGCTATTATTCCTACAAAAAGGTGGTTCCTTCCTAACAAAACGTATTTACTTCTGACACGTTTATTCTTAGGTTTTTTTTATCCTACCATGATGTTGGATGTTCTGACAATTTTAATAGATTAATTTAATACATAGTTGCTGACATGCCACATTAACAATGCCCACATCTCAATTTGAGAAGCTACTGATCCCCAATGCATTATTTATTTTTTTGTACAACTGAGTATTAAGACTTGCAAACAGAACAGGTATTATCTATTATGAAAGGCATTAAGAATCTTGAGAAGGAAGATTAACATGGATATTTCCACTGCCACTGGCATACTATTTTTTCAAGAAGATCCAATGACTCACATTATGCCAAACACTGGAGAAACCTGACATCTTATCACTATGCATTATCACGACTCTTGCTGTCATGCCTCCAGCTCTTGGAATGTACTGCTGCCTTCACAAAGTGGGTGGGAAAAACAAGGACACTGCTTTAGCAATGTTTTCTGAGAAAGTACCCTGAATAATGTATGATCTTGTGCCCCACTTGTCTCCCATATAGGAAACAACCACAGAACCAAGCCCAACTACTGTTACAAAACTCTCTCCTCTGCCCTCCCACTCTTTACCAAGAGCAAAATGAAGAACTTGTATTTGCTCTGTGCTCACCTTTCTGGAAACCAGCTGAATTGCATCCTCTTCAAATGCCTTCACATCCTTCAGTCTGGATGAAATAATGTGCTGTAACTGTTTGTAGGTGTAGGGCTGGAAGGCCATTCTGGTGAGGCCCTAAAGTAAATGACACAACACAGGGAGAAGCGTTTGCAGTGCTGGAAAACTCCCAACTGCTCAAGCATGGCCTGTATGGTTAAGTCTTACTTTCTCTGGTAAGAGCAATCAGTTTTTCACATCCTTTCCCTCTAAGTGATGTGCTTCAATCAATCATACTTGTGAAATGAATGTGCAAATCCACAAAACTGTGACTCAGTGAGGACCACTGGCTGGACATCCCTACTGAAAGGCCTGAGGAGCAAGTGCAGCTGCTATTAGAATTCAAATTTCTCTTATAAAACTTTTAAACAAATCACAGCCCCCCAGTATAAAACTATTTTGATTACAACTCTTTACACTTTATTTTTTAATACTGTAGCAGCAGCAGCTGTGAAAAAATATTCATCTTTCCTTTAGCAAGTCTTGTCTAAGTGTATACAGTCTCACTATTGACTTCATATTAGCAATTCTTCAGCCAAGAATTAAAAATCCTCTTCTGGCTCAAGCTAATAAGAACTGCTCTCAGATGAGGACAAATCTGTGTTTCAGATGGTGCACTGCCTTTCATATTCTGCAAGAGGCCTTGTATTTCTTATGCAAAATTCTTCTCCCTTGTGACTCTGTGGACTCAGCTGATCTGAAGTGGGTTTAGCAATTCACACTCCGGGGAGCTATTTTGGAGTCACAGAAGGATGGAGGCACAGAGCACTGTTTTTGCAAATCACTCCTCAGAACAGTGATGAAGAAATGACCCAGGAAAACATATTCAACACAGGTGTAGAGTGCACCCAACTTTCTGTCCAACGGGATCCAACAAGATCCACCAGCAGATGATGGTAAACAGAGAAGTAACTAGGTGCCTGGAATTAAAGAGGAAAGATCCAGGGAAACCAGAGCTCTAGAGTAAGCAGCTTAACCATGAAGCACAGCATTTGATTATCCAGATCTTTATATATTTAAAAAGACATCAGTACTAATTCATTCTTACACAGTGTACTTACAGAACATAACATCTCATTAAGCAAGGCTCCTAAACTTACTTTACAAGATTTACGTGTTCATTATCAGCCCTCTGAAGAGGGAATTACAAAAACCATTGTTCACCCTCTGATATAACCAATCCTACCTTTGTTCTGGGTTACTTCTGATTGCATCCAGTATTTAACCTGTTCTCATTTTAGGGCATAGGAACAGAACTGCTGGGACATACCAGCCTGCTGGCGACTCTGTTCATCATGATCCTCTCTGGCAGGTCCATGGTGTTGGCAATGGCCAGGATGATTAACTTGGAGTGCTTTTGGGTGGGCCAGTCAAACAAGTTGTACATCACGTTCTGTTTGCGGGTCCACAGCAGATCAAGCTGCAGAGACACAACAAGAACAATCAGACTGGAAAGGAATGGCTTTTATTTAAAACATCTGATGGGGAGGGGAGGTTGAGAGAACTAACTCTGCCACTTCTCATATGATCCTGAACAAGTTGCCTTCGTTGTGCATCCTTTCTCCTTTTACTAGTAGGGCTGCATTTTCTGAATTAGGGCTCTAATCTCTTTTGGAAAAGCACAATCCTACAGATGCTTCAATAGCATCAACCACAGCAGAATGATTAAACAGCTGGAGTTTTTAAACACTGTTGTGACACTAATACTACATCTGACAAGATTCAAAAGACCCTGCATGTGAGAACCTGAATTAGCTTACAGCATAAATAAGAGTGCATTTGATTATTATTTGAGGCATTTCAAAACTGGATATGACTGATCCCTGTAGAGTTTTTTCACTGGAAAATCAGCAGCTTCCAGACACAATACAGTAGAATTCTGTGGTATTTAGAACCACTACATAACTACTCATTCTATGTCTTGGACCAAAACAAAACATAAAACTGATGTGAAATCCAAGGCAGAGAACAATATGGCAAAAGGATACTTAGCCTTTTTAGGAAACTGAATTTCACTGGGTAAAAAGAACTTGTGTGTTCTCTCTCCTAAGTCTGTTCCTTTGAGATATGATACACTCAAAACAGTCTTTTTTCCATCCTCCAAAAACTCCTTTCTTACGATATTTTAAGGGAAGAAAACACAGGATTTTTTTGTCTCACCTCATCCACTATGAGCACTGTGGTTTTCCTCTTGGGCCCAGGTGTATTGAACAGTTTTGCCAACAGTACTGCAGCATGGGTTGCTGTCACCTTCTGACCTGTCAGTAACTGGACAAGGATCAAAGAGTGTTGCAGGTTAATCACACCAATATTTATTTCCTATTCAGTTTTACCTTTCTCTAACAATCAACACCAAGCATCTGGAATTTTTTTTTCCACTGGGGAGTAAAAAACAGAAAAAGTGGCTCATAAGACACTCAGGTCTACCAGGAACTGTCCATGAAGGAGAACAGAAAGAAAACAATACATAGCTAAAAAGAAACACCACTGGAATTTTCTGGAATTTGTCTTCGAATCATTAAGAAATCCTGAAGCCAGTCTCAAAGAACTCCAAACCCAGCATATCTCAAGGGTGTCTCTGAACACACACACCTACTGAAAACCTAAGTCAGCTGACAAGAATTGCCTGACTTCAGTAATCTTGAACTCCCATAAAATTACTCATGAATCATCAGCAGGATCTAGAACTAAACTTATTCCACTCCAAGCTAAAAAAAACCCCTCAATACCTTCTGCAACAATCTACGTGGCAGAACAGATGAGCTGACCTCTTCCCTTGCAGGTCCAAAGATATCCAGAAATTAAAGCATGACATTTCAAAATTACACTATATATGCTGAATCAATTATTCATCAGAGTTCAGAGTCTCCATAAAGCAAAATGGAGATTGCATTTGAAAATTGTATTTCTTTTCTAGAATCCTGTATCAACTGACCTGAGATTTCATAATTATTAAACAGGTCAGAGCATGACAATAATGTATAATCTATACTTGAATGATGTTTCCAATTCAATCAGGATGGTCTGAATCTGTCATACAAAGCAGTTGGATCCCAGAGAATCCCGATCTACAGCTCTGGAACTCTGTATCCAATACACCAAAAAGAGTTCTGTTTGTTGTGGTGGAACTACACAATGTCTTTAACCTTATCTCTATCATCTGTCAAGGGCTTCCTGTGCCTGTACCTTCTCTCTACATTTCCATCTGACAGTGAGGCAACTCCAGGAGGGAACACTCCAGGATTTGTTTTAGTCCTGCAAAGAAACATCAGCAAACTGGAGCTCCAGACTGACCTGCAGCAAGAGATGAAGCAAAAGCAGCAGCAGCCTGGCTCTTGGCCAGGGTACTTGGATAAGAGCTGAGGCAAAGGCACAGGATAAATAAGTGGTTCATGTGACTATGGACTCCCCTGAGGGATATTTAACTGGGTTTGCTTAGAGTTCAGGACCCGTGGGGGGCAACAGCTTTCACTTCCAATGCCTATTCCTTATTAATTTTAAAATCTTATGCTGAATGAGATAGGAACAAAGAATGTTAAAATACATTAACACTACTATGACATAAGGTAATTGTCAGGAAGCCTTTCACTGTGCTAAAGAAACACAGTGACCTGGCCTCAATAAATCCCTCTGCAAGACACTGTCTATGCTGGTTTGAGGAAAGGATGCAAATATGGTAATTTAGCTCCCAACTATGAGAAGAGGGATATTAGAACACTGTATGCCACTACCTGCTCAGAAAGATGTCAAACTTAAATAAATGGAGCAGAAGTTTATATGAAAATGGAATAGATGCTGCAGGAAATGATTTCACTTCCAGGTCACTTGCTTTAAGTTAGCCTAGACTTACAGAGCTCTTGAGCAGTTACTGTCTAATGCCTATTGGGTGATCTTAATCCGGGCCTCAGAAGGTTAATTCACACCCATGTAACATAAGCACAGTCAGTAGTCCCAGGTGGACACTGCAGACTAGTTTGTTTATGGATATCAGAAACACACTTTTGTTGACAGTCCTTCTGTAGCTGAATTGCCATTATGACAGACCAATTAACCATAAGGACCCCCTTAGTAATTATTCTACTGCTACACTGACTTTCAGAGTTGTCATCTTAGTGGCTGTTTAAGCACACATGTGAAGAAAAAATTACCAAATGGAAAATTTATAAAAAGAAGCTGGTTTAGATTTTTCTTAAACCTGACTGGATGTAATAAAGCAGGCTACTTCCCAGCCACTACCCTTATGCAGCAGAAAGCAAAACAGTTCAAGAAGTTGGCCAAGGCTTTAAGTCAATTATTTTCTAACCTGTTCTAAGATAAAAACAGTCTCTCAGAGGGACTTGGAAGTATTGATAAGTGGATCACTGGAACACTGGAACACATCGAGGATCTAATGGTAAGGCATAAAATCTCTTCTTTCAAACCAGAGAGCCCCTGACAAGGCTTTACTCACCTCTAGGATCTGCACATAAGCTTGGTGAGGGTCTGTCAGCTTCATGCCGTTGATCTCCACCAGCTGGAAGGGTGGCAGTTCATCATTTTCTGCAGCTTGCTGAAGGCAGCGAATCACTTCATGAACAGTTGCAGTTTTACCTGTTCCAGGCACTCCAGAAATGTACATGCACCTACAGCAGGAGAACAGCAGCCTGAGCAAAATGGTAACACTCTTGTGATGAATGAGCTGGAATTTCTGGCCTCTGACATGAGTCTTGAGTACTCCTCTGTCACTTCAGGCGATTCTCTATATTTCAGCAAACTGGAACATGTAACACACTGGAGGATCATGAGGATTTTTATTATTCCTGAAGCAATTAACGATCTAAAATACTTTATAAATGTAATTTGCCTCTTTTAAAAAAAATAAATGGTTCCCCAGACATATAAATTCGACTAATTGTATTTTGGTCTTTAACTGTGCAATAAAGAAGCCCATATTATTTCCGTTTCTTCTTAAGGAAGAAAAATACCAGGAAAATTCAATTAGGAACTTTAAACAATGATAACTTGTAGTGTGTATTGTCTGACTGCTTTTATGCCATAGGTAGGTTGGTTATAGTCTCCCAAACTCACCCTCCTGTACCATCAATGAGTTTGCTTTCCACAAAGTTATAGATATCCTGGAATTCTTCCTCACGGCAAGGCAGAGATTCTGGGACAGCAGAAACATGCAGCCTTTTGATTAAAAAAGAAAAAGAAAATTAAAATGGTAGTTCCACCTGAAGGGCCCACTGACATAACAAACAGCCAGATGTGGAGTTTTTCAAATCTCTTTTACATTCTCAAGTCTGAACATCAATGTCAGGTATCTCAAAAGAAACAGCCTGGTCTCTCTATCTGCTTTTAATTTATGCAGCAATAAGGATCTAGCTGTTTTAATTCACAAACTATTTGTAAGTCAGTGCAGAGGTAGACTGCTTATAGAAACAGGGCAGACTGCTTATAGAAAACTGAGTTTAAAACCTAGCTTGAAAGACATGGTCAATCCCTAATGCCTTTTTTCCCTCCAATGTCAAGATCTACAGTGATACCTGTAAAGCTTTTTCGGACACAAAGAAGAGACAAATAGTGTACCTTTACAATCTAAAGCTGATAAGAAAGGTTAAAATCATCTGAGATTGTAAAAGTAGTACTGTAAATACAACTAGTATTTGTAAATCTAATATTGTGTTGTAAATCAATATGGGCTCTTCTCATATCATGCATTTTTACCAATCTTATTCAATATGGTAAAGATGACATCCCCTACCTCAGCATAGCTACTGCTGTGCATACCTAACACAAATAAAGATGATTTCCTCCCCTGAGCACAAGTTACCTTAATCTGGCTTCTTCCAGTACACTGGCAGGTTTCTGTGCTGCATGGCTGCGCCTGGGAATTTCAGGAGTGGCATTCCGGGGAGTCTTGGGTGTTCCTGGTAAAGGCTGTAAAGGAGAATTACAACCTCAAACAGATTTCCTCCATGCAGCAATTTCTGTGGGAGGCTAATGATTCATACAAGTTTCCCAAACATTACTTATGCACAAACTACCCGGGGATGCCAGAGCACAGGATGGACAGAGAAACAGCCTTTACAAAGGGAATTGCCAAACATGCCTTATGGTGTTCTCTTCCTAAAAGAAAAAGGAAACTCGAAAGAGGGTGGTGACAAAGCAACTACACCTTTTAACTGTCTGAAGAATTTTCAAGTTGTTAATGCTTTTCTGAAGCACTGTGTCACAAAGTGATCTGGTTCTTAAGAGAGAGCAAGCAAATAGAAACTGATCTATCTGAACTCCACTGTTCAGACAAAAGCCATACAGTATCTTAATTATTCTTCTTTGCTGTGCTTGCAACCTAGTTACACTAGGTTTTCTGTGTTAGACATTCATTTTCATTAGACACAGAGTAAAAATGAGCCATTGACACTAATCAGTATTCAGCACCTGGCTAAGGTGCTGAATACAGCCTTAATGAGCCAGGCCTAAGATTTCTGTAGCCTGGGATCCCATCTCCATCAGTAGCCAGGACACTATGAGAAACTGCTGATCATGCTCTTTGGTGAGGCCATGATGCTGCAGAGCATCCAAGCCAATATTTTCCCTGTTTACCCAGTTTTTTAATCAACATTGTCACAACATGCAAGCGGTTTATACACTTGCATAACCTACTTCTATCAGAGATTAAATTAATCCAGATAATGCTTCATTAAAAGCTAAGGGGTTCAGAAACTTAACTGTGGTACACAGGCATCCAGCATTCAATTAACTGGCTCAGAAATAATAAAAATAGCTCTTTCAGATAGAACCTTACAGTTTTCTTTGGGGTCTTTGCAGGAGTGTGAACTGAAGACTTGCTAGAAGATTTTGGGGTGCTGAATATTCTGCTTGATTTAGTTTTCTTTTCTGGTGTACAGGGCACATCCTCCTCCTCCTCCTCCTCTTCCTCGCTACTTGAAGAGTAAGAACTGTCAGAGCTGGACAGATCATCTTCCTGGTTCAACACGCTGTAATAAACAGAAAATAAAAAAATACTTACAAATCTAAACACTACAAAGCATCACTGGTACCTTTTCAGCTTTTTCTGCAGTTCTCATAATCAGCAAACAAACGTGTTTTTCACTTGAGCTGCTAATTTTCTGTGGCTATTTAACAGTTTGGAGGTTTAGAGGAAGTCAGTTTTCTGAAGAACACCATGAGTCAGCTTTATGCTTCTGAAGATAAGACAGTATTTACTCACGCTGCAATTAAGCTGCACTCCTAGAACCATTTGCATTTCAATGTTACACCAGACAAACTCTCAAGGCTTCAAGCCATCAACAGCCATCTGAACAAGGTATCATGGATGCAAAGCTTACCTGATGTGCTGTGCAATGAGAGCACTTGTTCTCTGTGCACATGTTCTGCGGGAGCGAGGGGTCAGCACAGGGCTCTGAGTGCCCGGTTTCTGATGTCCAACTAAACTAGAAAGACAGAACACAAAGCTGTTTGTATTTCTTTGCATCACACTTGTAAAGACACACAGAAGGCCTTTCAAACTTCAGGCTCAATTGTTGTGGCTGCCAATCCAGCATGAATTCTTATTTGTCGTTTACAGATTGGCTATGGCATGGACACTGGTAGCACAATTTCCCCCCTCTTGCACTGTCTCTTCAATATGTCTTTGCCAAGAAAAAAAACCCCACCTACAAAATATTTGCTATACTTGGCAAATATAGCACTGCCAAACTGAAGGGACAGGGGCTCAAAACAGTTGTGGTTTTATTTGGTTTAGAGGTGGGGGGTTTGCCTATTCTTTTTTAAGAGAAAGAGAAGACAAAACCTATTTCCTTTCGGTCTCTCTTTGATCTGCCCTTATGAATATATTTTTCTCCTTGTGTTTTGATATTCCTTGGTTGTCTTCTTGGGTGCTTCTCCTCCCTACTACTGAAATATTTTACTGTTAGTACAAAACTTTCCTACTAGTTCAAAGGACACAATGAGATGAATTCCAGATGCTTTAATTATTTGTTGATAGTTCTTGGGAGATTTTTTTTTAGATCTGTAAATACAGCTGAAACGCCATTACCTTATCAATGAAAGGTAAACATTTTTATGCTCTATTGTAACGGACAAAAAAAGAAGTGCTAATTCCATTGTCACATCAGCATCTTTACTCTTGGAAAGGAGGAAAATTACTTATCTCTGGAAGTCTTTCATAAATGTATTTTAAAAGAACTACACGCAAATGGAAATCCCATAGACAAATACTGATAAAAGGGCCCTCACTTACGATATGATGCCATCTTCCACGTGAAGGTTCTTGGCTTTCTCACTGAAGTCTTTGGCCTTGGGGTAGGGGGACAATCGAATTGTGTCACTGAACCTCTCACAGGGCTCTGCAGTGTCAGATACTGACTTGGATTTATCACTGCTGCAAGGGATCTTTGGCGGTGAGCCTAAAATGTCACTTGTGAAAGTCACTTTTCTTTTAGTAGCTGCTGATTCTAACGGTGCTATGGCATCACGGTCATCATCCAAAAGGTCCAAAACTTCACTTCCCAGGAGCCTGCCTTTAGATCTTGTGGGACCTAGAAATCAAGAGCAAAATGAACTTTTGTCAGGCTTTACTATGGTTGGTTTGGTTAACTTTCAGAAGACATGGTACGACTGGTTGTTATTTGAAGGAGATGGGCATTTCACTCCAGGAACAAGGAACTGGATCAGTAGAAGGCATGCACTTTCTATAAAAAAATTACTAAATAGAAGACAGACACATTTGTTGTTTTCTAACTCACCTCCATCACTTCCAACTTTACTGAGGTTCCATGTTGAAAATACTGCATGTTACATAGGATCAAATGTGCTCATTCAACCAGCCCAATGGAAACATTTTAGTGTACCATTAGGCAGAAGATTAAAGAAAGGGGGACGTTCTGAGGCCAAGTTGGGCACTTCAGTCAACAAGCACTTTAATTTAGAATTATCAGTTACAAATAAAACATTTGCAACAGCAGTTGGATACACGCAGTAAAGTTGCCCAAAATAACAGACAAGACAAACAACTGATGTGCCCAAAAGGCTTGGGTTGATCCCAAAGACCTAACAAGGCAGCTAAAAATACTGATGTTGAATGTTACCACTGTTTAAACTACCTAAAATGGAGAGGCACAGAACATGCTACATTCAGAACTACCAAATGGAGGGAATATTGCCATATACATACTGCTTAACTCCAACTTCTTCCTTGCTGTTGGGGTTTTGATGTCATTGGCTGCTCTCTGTGATTGCCTCTCCTTAGCAAGGGAGGACTTGGAAACAGAATGTTTTGACTCAGCATTTTTTGGTTTTGTGGCACTCCGAACAACACTCTCTGTCTCTTTTTTCAGGGGTGTACAGATGTCTGAAGGAATAAATGGTTCTGACGAGTCCGGGGTGCTGCCTTTTTTCTTCTTGGCTTTCAGCTTAGAGAATGTGTCTGGGGACAAAGCCTTAAAGCATTTCCCATCCCAAGATTGTTTCACGTAGAAAGTTTGTTCCTTGTTTGATGTAATAGGTAGTTCCTCCCCTGGATGTAGTGGTATTACCTGCAAAAACAGAAAATACCAAAGCACACACACATTAACATTCAGCTATTTTCTATTCACAGATCTTATTGTAACTCATGCAATCCTTCATTATATAAAGCAACACCTTCAACCTACATTTACACCAGCATAAGTTTATTACACTACAGGACTGTTCCCGTTTCTCTCTTCCCTCTCTGTGCAGAGGGGCTGCAGTACATACCATGATGCTTTTAATGATGGTCTGTGCATCTATATCAGTGTCATAGCCAAGAACTTGGTCAAAAAACACCTCTTGGGGAGAAATCTCTCTTTTAAGCAGCTTCCTTTTATTCTGAGGTATCTCTCCAATATGACAGAACCACTGCACAACTGCACGTTTGTGCTGAGCACCTGGAACAACGAGAAGTCAGTGAATATGAAGAATTTTATTGTCAATAGTTAGGGCTAGACCTTAATGCCTTCAGCCAAAATGCCATCAAGCATAGAAATCCTCCCTGGTGAGGAAGCATCTGGTAAGAGATTGCAATTCCCATTTTCTAAGCTAAATCAATGTTTGAGTTGAGACTTTTAAGGACCAAGACAACACTTATGAAGGGTCTCAACCACAAAACACCTGGAGACCAGCTCCAGACCACCAGTTCACTACCACAAATGAAGAGGTTCCTTATTTGCATAGATGTGATCTCCTCAAACCCCACTAATTAAAAACAGTGGCATAAAAGGAGAACTGAGACATTTCAGAATGTTATTTGTAGTGCCATTGTACTTTTAGAGGCCAGACACATTTTTTTCACTGCCTAACAAACCAGTACCTTGTCAAAGATATATAACAAAAGAAAAATCTTGTTTTCAAGGAAGTTCCATGTGTTTTGTTCCAGAATGAAAAGAATCTTCAGTTACATTACAATAAATATCTGTTAGTAAATAAATAAGTTGAGGTGATACGTATTATGTTTTAAAAAAGGTAAAGAAAATTAGAAAACCTCTAAGTATTATTATGATGGCACAAAAAGAACAAAAGCTGTTCAAAGAAATCAGACATAGCCAATGAGGAGCTCCCCATTCAGACTCAGACATAGTCTTTGTATCAATCACCTCCCACGATGTATTTCTTCATATCTAGGAATAAACAAGTAGTTCTAGAAGGGACAGAAGCAACAAATCCCATTTGCTCAGCCCAGTACTTTTTTGTTAAATTGCCTGATGTCTAATAAGAGGCAACTTTCAGGGCTGCAATGCTCTTGCTCCATTTGAATTCTCCAATCTCTAAATAAAGCATGAACTCACACTGTCTTCCTCCAGGACCATTTCTTTTAAATTAAGCAACTAAGCAAAAAGACTGTAAAAATATAATGTCCTTAAACTCTGCATGTATGTATCAAATTTAGCCGAAATTAGCCATCGGTGCCAAATATTTGGGGAGTATGTGAATACAGATGCAACAATTACCAAAGCTTAATTTTCTTAATAAATTAGGCCAGTGATACAGTGTTAATGCTAACTACCTCCCCATGAAAAGTTCACTTTAAAACATTTTAAGATTTCTCAGACAGAAAGTAAATTGTTATTTCTCTTACCATCTTCATATAAATCCAGGAGTTGTGCTACATAAGGCCGATCTGCATTCACCCCTTCTACTAGAATAAAGTCCCCAAGCTGTATACACGTTTCTGTTCTGCTGCTTTCTGAGGTAATAATGATCCCCCTAGAAAGGGATAGACAGGCAGATTAAAAGAATTTCATACTCTTTCTAATTCACACATCATTAAACCTGATGGCCTGTCAACTTTAGTTATAACCCTTCTTGAAAAGCTCACAATTTAGTTCCCTGATTAGCTTTCATACCTATTTCAACTAGACATGCTTTTGGTTATACATTATACAATTTATAATTCAAGAGCTTTGAAACAATGTTTTTGTTATATATGTACAGAGTCACAACAAAATGCTCAAAACTTTACTCATATTCTCACTGCCTGCCACTTTAACCTAAACAACGTCAGAAAGGTAAGGAAACATTCATTGATTAAGTTTCCCTGAGTAAGACAGAAATAAATGTTATTTACTTATACTGGGTAGTCCTCAGCTTTCTGTCTGAGCTCATGGGTTTCCCATACCAGGAGTAGATAAGTTTGCTTTGCTGCCGGGTGTTCATGATTCCCAAGGAGAAGCTAAAAGAAATAAGCAAACACTTTTAAAAGAATTATTATTTAAAAGGAAAAGAAGGCAAGATGGAAAGATACACAGAAATGCCACAAACTCTTTCGGTGTGTAGGAAGAACGTGGTGGTTCGCTCAGAGAAGACCACCTTCCCCAAGGCCTCCAGACACCTCTCCCCGAGGGAGAAGGAAAAAAAGGAAGATATTTAGTAGTGAATTTTTACTCAACTCCTAATCAATTCCCCCGCCGCCATGGCGGGGCGGGCTGCGCCCTCCGGAGACCGAACCTCGCTTGTTTTCCACACCTCACTGCGATCGGGTTGGTTTGGTTTGTTTAATTCCTGTTTTCTAAGCAAGAATTTTCCTTGGAAACTCAGGGCAAAGCCCTCGGTGCCGATCACCCCCCGCCCGCCCCAGCCCGCCGGTTCGAGCGCGGGCAGCGCTGCCTCAGGGACTGGGCCCCGCTGGGGGCGGCGCATGGCGGCACAGGGGACAGTGTCCGCCGGCTCGGACATCGAGGGGCTTCGCCGCCACCACAGAGCCGCTAACCCGCCCACCGCCCGCACAGAGCCCCAGACCCGCCAGAACCCCTCGCAGAACGGGTAAGGCTGGAAGGGACCACATTCACTCATCCGGTCCCTCCCTGCTCCAGCAGGGTCATCCCAGAGCACGTTGCACAGGACGGCGTTCAGAGCTGTCTGGGATATCTCCAACGAGAGAGACTCCCCACGTTCCCCAGGCAGCCCATCGCGGTGCGCGGTGACCCGCACGGGACACGCATCCCCTCCCTGTCCCCTCACAGCCCCAGCTCACCTCAGCCCTTCCACGACTCCCGCTAGCGCCGCGATGGAACTTCGCGCCACAGGCGAGGGAAGCTCCGCCCCCCGGCCGCGCGCGCGCACAAGGGCGGCGGGGGGGCGCCATGTTTGTGGCGGGCTGGCCCGCAGTAAGATGGGGCCGGCGGCCGGCGCCCGGAGGCGGAAGGTGCCTGAACCCCTCAGGGGAGGGGAGTTCGGAGTTCGAGGCTGAGCTCGGGGCCGGGAGCGGGGCTGTGCAGCCGCGACCATGGCCAACCGCACGGTGAAGGACGCGCACAGCATCCACGGCACCAACCCGCAGTACTTGGTGGAGAAGATCATCCGCACGCGCATCTACGAGTCCAAGTACTGGAAGGAGGAGTGTTTCGGCCTCACGGGTATGGCGGGCGGGCCGGGGCGGGCCGGGGGGCCCGGCGGGAGCTGCTGCTGACGGCCTGTCCCGTCCCTGTCGCAGCCGAGCTGGTGGTGGACAAGGCCATGGAGCTGAAGTACGTGGGGGGGGTCTATGGAGGGAACATCAAGCCCACGCCCTTCTTGTGCCTGACGCTGAAGATGCTGCAGATCCAGCCCGAGAAGGACATCATCGTGGAGTTCATAAAAAACGAGGACTTCAAGTAAGTTGTAGCACGATTTTTCCCGTTATTTTGTGCTGTTGTAATGAGTATCTATCCAAAACAGCCGGGAATACCTCAGTGCAGAGTTTAACTTTCATTGGGCCCTGATAAACTTGCTCAAAACCAAGTCTTTCCCTTTGCTTTTGAAACTGCTCACCTTGTCATTTGTATTTAGAGTGGCTTGCACTCGTGGTATGTGCTTCTGCCTGAAGTATTTGCAACAAGGTACATAAAGGGAGCCACGTTAATCTAATATTTTCTTCAGTATTTCTTTCATCTTTATCAGTGATGATACACCCATGCAGACATTTTATTTTTATATATATATATATGTATATATACACACACAAGCACTTGACTACGCGTATTTTTCATAAACTTGAACACATGAAGGAGGAAATCTAAATGGCTGTGTATTCTGTTTAGTGTACTGATTCTCCCCAGAAACTTGTGGGAAAAACTCTTTTACTCAAACTGCTAACTGTGCAAAAGGCCCAGGTCCATGAGGAGGTTTCCTTTCCAGGTATGTCCGAATGCTTGGAGCGCTGTACATGAGGCTGACAGGCACTGCCATCGACTGCTACAAGTACCTGGAACCACTATACAACGACTATAGAAAAATAAAGAGTCAGAACAGAAATGGGGGTAAGAACTCCTACTTAGCTGTGGTTTCTTAGTAACTCTTTTGTTCAACTATCATGCTAGATAAAAGTAAATATTCTGTTTAGCCATGTAAACTTAAACAATTGTGGCATAACCGGCCCACATTACATAAATTGTCTGGAGTGTTTCATCTTTACTCTAGCCACTAATCTTATCTCTTAAATGCTGTTTTCACCCCCAGAATTTGAGCTGATGCACGTGGATGAGTTCATTGACGAGCTGCTCCACGAGGAACGTGTGTGCGATATCATTCTGCCTCGACTGCAGGTTGGGGAAAGTAGATGGCTATGGAATTCTTAATTGCATCAGGTTCAGTAGCTGTATCAGTTACTGGCTTGTTGTATAAGCTATAGATGCCTCCTTAGGTGTTTGTTCTTACTTGGGTTATGTTGGATAAAGTTGCCATTTCTCCTAGAAACGGTATGTTCTGGAAGAAGCTGAGCAACTCGAGCCTCGTGTTAGTGCTCTGGAAGAAGACATGGATGATGTAGAATCTAGTGAGGAGGAAGAAGAGGAAGATGAAAAGGTTGGTGAACTATTTTGGAAAGGGATAGTTAAAGCTGAACCACTTTAGAACACTTTATGGTCTACAATAAATATTTGAGGGGAGGCATCAGGAGGCTGCTGGCAACTCTTATCTCCCCCCTTAAAATATTTTCATATAAGCAGCTTGTGAGGATTTGTTAGATCCTGAAGCAGTTCTTGAATGCTCTGTGTTTGTTAAGCTTTTCTGTCTCCTGAAGTTCACAAATCTGGATCTGTTCTGTGTTAAACATATTTCAGGTAAATTGTTTTACATATATGTGTAATGGAAAGAGCTGAAGGTGATGATGAAAGTTATTATGACCATCACAGTCACTGCTGCTGTAGTTCCTCAGAATCAACAGTATGAGAAGTGGCTGTTTTAATTTCCAGTGGGCAGGTTTAGGCAGAACCACTCACATGAGATACCTGAGGAGGGGCAAGCTTGACTGCACGGCTTTTGTAATTTATATTAATTGTTCAGAAATATTTACTGAGAGCTAAAAACCTTGATGAAACAAGACTTAGAGAACCTGCCCCCTCCTTGTTTGCAGCTGGAACGAATACCATCTCCCGACCACCGCCGCAGGGGATACAGAGACCTGGACAAACCCCGCCGATCTCCCGTTGTGCGGTACAGGCGCAGCCGGAGCAGGTCTCCAAGGAGGTGACGTGACTCTTCCTGAGCATTGTTTTTACCTATTCTACTGCAGGTGGCTGGAGCACAGAGGTGAAGGTGGCAGTTGAGCCAGAACCTCTCACACATCCCAATTCCTTAAGCCACTTCCTAAAGTAAGGAGTTGCAGTGCACAGCCACATTCAACCCCTCTGCCTATTTCTCCAGTCCTTCAGTAACCCCTGAACTTGCTGGCCAACATTAGCTAAATTTGACAATACAGTGAGGATATTAAGGAGACACAAGTGCTTTGTTTTCATGTATGCCAGAGGCTGCAGAGAAAATCCTGGTAATTTCTCTTACTGATAATAAGCCAGGAAAAACTCATCACTAACCTCCCTTGCTCACTGCATGGGCCAGTCCAGAAGCAGGTCCTTGTGCAGCAGGCCAAGCACACACTAACAGGGGTACGGGAGGCCCTGGTGCTGTTGCCAGAGGATGTGGGAAATAAAACAGCTGGTTCTGCTAACGATTTTTAGTAATTTTTGCTTTTCTCGCCCAATTGCAGGCGAAGTCGCTCTCCAAAGAGAAGAAGGTAGTGATTTATTCTGTTATTTAATCTTAGAACGTGTGCATTTTTAGCACAACTCTCTTACAAGCGTCTCTCTTTTAGCCCATCGCCGCGCCGGGAGAGGCATCGCAGCAAAAGCCCGAGACGGCACCGGAGCAGGTCCAGGGAAAGGCGCCACAGATCCAGATCTAAATCTCCAGGTATTTCTGTCACTTGCAGGTTAACTCTGGCAAGTCTTTATCAGGAGAACATTCACTGCAAGAAAAATCTGTGTCACGGTATCAAGACACGGCATCAGTGCTTAATCTGGCTGACAAAAGTGCTGGTTACATGAAAGCACAGCTGGAGAACTCCTTTAATGCACATAAAATTGCCTTGAGCGAGTCTTCACATAACTGCCAGGGGATTAATTTGAGTGCCTAATTAAGGCTAGGGTTGTTCTGCCATTATCTAGCACACTTGGTCACTAGGAGCAGATTGCTTTGGCAAACAAAAAAGAATTCTGGGGTCTGTGGAAGTAACTGTACCTTTTTATCTCACAGGGCATCACCGAAGTCACAGACACAGAAGTCATTCCAAATCACCTGAAAGGTAAAGGCCTGACCTATTTCTTAAGGGTATCTGTATTGCTGTAGCAGCTATTACTTGTCCTTTAATCTTGGAGCCTGAAGGTGGCTTTACAGTGTTGGAGATCTAGTATTTCACTGAGTACTTTTCTCAGTGTTGTAGTCAACATATTTGACTGCAGAAACCCCCCCTTACTGCTAAGGCTCACTTTGGTCTTTCAAATGAATTACTGGTACTGTGTCAGAGAGCTTTGTTTTTCTGTTTCAGATCTAAGAAAAGTCACAAAAAGAGTCGGCGAGGGAATGAATGACAAACTAAACCCAGCACACAGTTTAAGGACCTTGAACTGCAGTCTAATGCTATCCTATCTGCTTTATGGGACAGCTGGATCTGTACTGGCTGCTTTAGCAGCCCATTTCTTCAGTCATTCTCTTGTGCGAGTCTTGTTTTCTGTTAGGATTTTTTTATTAAAAGGAAGTTAAGGATACTTTTTATGTAGTGAGTTAGTCATCCTTGTGATAGAATTTGAGGATTTTTTAAATTGTATTCCTTGAGACCCATAAAAGCTAGTGAAGAGCAATAAAAAAGGTTTGTCTTTCAAGGCTCCTGGCTGTTTCTTTCGTAATACTGTGTTTAG